GGTTTAAGTGTTGAAAAAAGAAAGAGGTGGTCTTTAAAATGAATCTTGTCCCCGGGCGCATAAAAACTCTTTCTACGCCCCTGGTTCTCGTGTGGTGTTGACTTTTTTTACAATGTCAAATGATTTAGTTGCGATGAAACTGAACTCCATTCACGGATCACTGAGTTTCTCCCACTGAAGCATTTCTTCTGTACATTCTCCGCTCCTGGATAAAATTCAAATAGCACAGAATAATGCGGCTCGCATTGTTCTCCGCAAACGCAAGTTTGACCATGCAAAAACACTTCTGAGAGAGCTGCACTGGCTGCCAGTGCGTGCTCGCATGGAGTACAAAATCGCAACTTTGTGCTACCGCTGCTTACATGACCTGGCGCCGTCCTATCTGAAAGAGCTGCTGACGCCTTATGTACCCACTAGAGAGCTCCGCTCATCCGATAGTGGCAAACTCTCGACACCACGTGTTTGCCTTGAGACTTACGGAAAGCGCACTTTCGCATTTGCTGGTCCACTAATTTGGAACGCCCTTCCTGTCGATCTCAGAAACAACCAGACACTGGAGTCCTTTAAAACCGATTTAAAGACACATCTATTTCGCAAACACCTTCTGGGATGATTGTCAACATTATTTTCCAGTTAATGCATAATGGCTGTGTTGCTTATGGTTGAAATGGCTAGAAAGACTTTGCCATTGTATGCTTGTACTTAGTTTTTGTCGTGTTGCGTTTGTTTTAAATGTGGTAAACTATAGATTTGTTGTTTTTTTTTACTTTGTACCGCGCTTCGAGCCTTTGGGGATGAAGCGTGTTTTTGAAATGAACTTTATTATTATTATTATTATTATTCAAGAAAAAGAAATGATAAAAACAATAGTTGACTGCCCCAACAGAGAAGGTGAGAAAGTAAGGGGAGACTAATGGCAAAGGAATGATGTGATCTAAATGAAAGCTTTTATTGACTGCCTACTACTGCTACTACTGCTACTACTACTACTACTACTACTACTACTACTACTACTACTACAATTTTCATCTCAACAACGTTTCAGTGGACTTTTTATGCAGCGACGTTGATGGAAATCCTATTTTTAGGGCATATTTTCAATGACGAGATTCAGTAAACTTCTGATTCATATTTGTTATGACAACATATACTAGAGCAATCCTCTTCTAGCTCGTGACATCTTGATCCAATAATAAGAGATGTTTGACAAGTTTTTTCTGCGTAATTTAGAGAGGTATTATGTTCCGGACATCACAGTAGTTGAACAACTGGTTGGCTTCGGAGGTCGGTGCAGATTTATTCATTATATGGAATACAAATCTTCTGGGCCTGTGACTGTGAATTGACTTCGAACTATCTTCTGAGAGCATGCCTATATCTTGGCAAAGACAAAGCAAGTGCCCTGCCAGCAGAAAGAAATGTTGGAATATCCCCAGAGACTGTAATTTCGCTCACTCAATAACTCAATTTGGAGATGGCGTCAGTGGGTCATCGAGTGTGAGCTCTTAAAAACCCCCTCTGGCACACCCCCGCCCCCCCCCCCCCCCCCCCCCCCCCCCCCCCCGCCCCCCCCCCCCCCCCCCCCCCCACACGGGACGACGCCCGGTTTCATCGCTACACCGTACGGAAGAGTGTCAGAGACCTCCCCCTCGAGCTTAGGGAATGTCCGGTCCACCGTACACACTCCTTTCAGGATGAGGCCAGGCCACTCTCCGTGGATTCAGAACGGCTTTGCTCCCTCTCCGGGGGAAGGGTGTTGCGTAGCCCTTCCCCACCGCCCAGGGAGTTGTTCGGTCTCGACGTAACGAGGCGTGACGAAACGGTGGCGTAGGAGCGGCTTTCTCGGGACCGTGCACTTTAAATCCTCGGCCACGGTTTTGTTGCCACCCAAACCTCATATCCATTATCGGCGACTAGTAATCATGTTAGTGCTGATTTTGCTCACAAGGGACAAGCATGGAAGTGGCCGCACTTTCAGAACACACTATTATTTCATTCCAGTACTACTTACAGAACCAATGGCCAAGAACAGACTCGCCCTAGTTCAGTGGTTCTCAACCTGTGGGTCGGGACCCTTTCCCAGGGGTCGCCTAAGACCATCTGAAAACACATATCCTTACAGCTATGAAGTAGCAACGAAAATAAGTGTTTGGCTGGGGGTCGCCACGACACCAGAAACTGTATAAAAGGGTCGCGGCACTAAAAAGGTTGAGAACCACTGTCCTAGTTGGAACAGTGAAACTGAACAAGAAGTTCCTACCCAAGGGGTTCCAGCAATAGAAAGCTCTGCCACTCAACAAATCTGTGGTTTTGTTCAGACTATAAAGAACCTTGTCAAATATCAGAAAAAGCAGAAAAATGTATTGTGTTGCTCTTGAACACAATACACGATTGTCCTGATATGGAAAGTGAAACTGAATTCAAGGAACCAGAGATTGGGCTCTTTAAAATCAAAATCGAAGGGTGCATATTCGCCATGGACCAAATGGTGAAGGTGTCCTCTGTGAATACAAAAAACTAAAAGTAAAAGATGGCCTTTGGTTTTTCAACATTTGTACATGTTATCAATGGCATCAAGAGTGGCAATTAAATATAAATATCCGACAAACTCACCGTCTCATGATGCACGACAACGTACACTCAGTATTGACTTTGCACATTTCCTCACCCTTCTACACATAGAGGTGATCCGTCCCGACACATCAAGATATTGTGAGGCAGAACTTCGCCAGTACAAAAACTTCAAACAGCTGCCCAAACCACTTCAAGTCAGCAAGTTTATTAGACAAAATATTTGCAAAGACCATTCTGTACATTTATTTAAAAACTGTGCTAGATGAACAGCAACGCCCCTATTTTCCATGTGTACATGTAACTGTTCTGTTTTGAAATGGTTTGGTAAGTTGAATACTTGTTATTATTGTTGGTACCCTCCCTAATGCATTCAGAATATTTATTATTTGTGAAAAATGTAAGATCTATTTGATGGATGACACAGACTCAAATAATCAAAAAACAACCAGACCAAAATGTCCACACGCCAGTTTAGACGGTTTTTTTCGTTTATTAAATTATGCACGGGTGTGTTACATCCAGTTACTTGGGACTGTAGACAAAAATGTTAGACCCCCAAAAATAAGTCACTTTCGCATACTTTAAAAATTGCATCCACTAAGGTGTTCATTCCAACTAGTGTATGAGAAAGATTATTAAATGGAAACTCGAGATATCAGCAATCAAAGGCTTCTCCGGGTGTATGAGACCCCGTTGAGGTGGATAGGGTTAAGAAGCTGTTCATGAACGCACAAAATTTAATGAAAAATGGAAAATCTACTAAGTAGTGAAATTATCATGTGTATAACAAGTTGTGATTACATTGCTATACTCATAAGATGCATCCACCCGTTGAGTGACGTGGTTTTACTAAATGCTGATTTGGGGTAAATGACAAATTCGTGATTATACCTTCCCAAAAAGCATCTGCTAAAATCATGATTTGTCATAAAATTGTAAGCACTCCCAGGAATGTACTATCCCCCCCCCCTTACCCTCCACGAGAACACAAAAGCAACCTTTATGCACGTACATGAACTATGTTCAAATCCCCTCTTCGCTCCCTTTATCTCCGTTAAAAGACTTTACCTTCAATGAATAATGGCCAATCTCCAGCCAGATCCAGACTAACGTCTGCACACTGGCATCACCTGTTGCGACAAGCAGTGGTAAATATGGAACTAGACATTGACCATCTCAGTACATAAAAGCAGACCCGTACTTCCCCACTGAAACACTAAGTATTTACTTTGAATAAATTTGTTATTGACTTCAAATGTTGTGTTGTTGTTTTGTTCTAGTTTTTTTTTTCACTTTTTTTTTTTAATGGTTTTTTGTTTGATGTTATTTCACTAAAAATAAGGCATTTACAGTCTGTACATGATTTTGGTCTTATTTGTTTTATTCAAACTATAGTCGGGCCTAACGGTGGCAGAGCGACAGTGAACTTACCAGATGTTTATATAAAATTGTAAGGTCTCATTCAGACAGTTGTGTGGAATTCTCTGAATGTTTCGTCAACTTCTCTTATTGTGTATTAGGCGTAAATGAGTTGTGTAAGAAAACTGTGGAGGGTTGCAAAGGGGGGTAAGTCATTGTAGGGGCTTTTGGACGGCGTCACAGTAGCGTATCAAAAGATTGTATAAGATGGAATTATACAGAGTTGAATTATGGGATTGTTGTAAATTCGGTGCAAGAACCTTGACGGGAGGCTAATTAGGATTCAAAGTCCAGAAATTGTGATCAAGATGTAAGTAGGTCAATATAAAAGCTTGATCACCCCAGCCCACCCCCAACTCAACCTTCCCCCTCCCCCCATAAACATTATAAAAAATCTAAATTTTATTCAGAATGTTAAAAATCCTTTGTATTTACTTCGCTTTTGTTCGTGGCTGGCAAAGATCTTCGGACGGCTAATAGACCCACGTCCAGTCATTCTATATAGCTGAAACATGGCGCATAGACTCATCGATTATTATGCTTTGACCACCATGTATTGGCTGCTTTTCAACTGTCTAATGATTGATTGATTTAGATATTTATATCGCGCTGGTATGCATGCCACTTTAGCATGCTCACTGCGCTATGGTTTTCCGAAATCTATTGAAACAAAAAAGTTTTAAATGTTTCTTAAATGATTTTTCATCATTTTCAATTCCCCTCAAAGATTGAGGCAAACTGTTCCATAATGTTGGCGCTATCGCTTCAAAAGAGCGCACTCCGTAAGACTTTTTTCTGTGCTCATCCACTCTAGGAACACTCAGTAAGTACTGTGTTGAAGACCGCAGGCTCTTCAAGGATACATGTTTATAAATCAGTTCTTGGAGATATTGCAGCTGTTTGTTAAATCATATAGCCAGCGCACATTTACTAAAAGACAACTTCTACTCATTCGTTTATTAACAAATATGATAATAACCCAACATAATTATGGACAACCGAGTTGCCTAATTAATTAGGTTGCTAAAACACATGCCCAAAATGGCGCAGAAAGCCGTGTAGTAAAATGATGAGGCCGGGTTGTCTGTGGCATCTATAAGAGGCCCCATGATGCCTGAGCATATGATGAAGTTCAGTGGCAGCATAGTGGCTATGAAGGTCATAGGCATGGTGCTACTTCTGGTATCCGCCTGAGGGCAAAAATGCATCATTAATCTTTGATTCATTACACGAGACGCTAACAAATAGGGCAATCAAATTAGGGGACATCCATTTAGTGTTGTTTTAAAACACAACTTAGCTGTGGACGCCGCATAAAATTTTTTTCAATGTGGTTTGGTTCCAAAATGATTTTTTTGTGGTAGTTTCTAAACTTTATTCACTAAAATTTAGTAGTAGGGTTAATTTTAAAAATGCTGCGGCTATTCGAACCCGGGTCCGAGAAGTGAGAGTTTTGGTTTATCAAAAAATATTTAAAAATTAATTGTATGGTTTGTAAGACAAATTTGGTATCAAATGAAAGATAATTGAACGGACTATATGTTCGTAAACTTACTTCTTAAGTTTAATTAAAATAAGCTAACACAAATGACATCCGAACAGCATTTAGTCAAAATGGAACCAGAAACGCATCGCCGCTATTCGGACCCGGGTCCCTTTAGACTCAATGCTATTCGGGTGTCATTTGTGGCAGTTTATTTTAGTTAAACTGAATAATTTACTTTACAAACATATAGTCCATTAAAATATTTTTCATTTGATACCGAATTTTGTCGTACAACCTAACAACAATATTATTTTAAAAAATTTTGATCCCAGCCTCTAACTTCTCGGACCTGGGTCCAAATAACCACTTCGTCTTAAAAAAGCCAAAAATATAATTTGCTTTTTTAAATGTATTTTAATCTGAATAATTTCGTTCCTTTCAATAAGCGGTATAGTGATGCAATCCATGTTAACTTAGCCAGGCCATGACATCCAATCCATGTTAATTTAGTCAAGTCATGACAGCCACAAATGATATGACACCGGATATGATATGAATCAACTCATTATGCTATTTTCTTTCCGATAATAGTTCGTTTTCCTTCATGGTCGTAATCCATTGCGATGTAGCAGTAGAAGGAAAAGCTCTTTTCAATGTACATCCCATTGTAGGCAAGTGTACTTGTGATTGTAGGCAATGCGTTGAGTAGTGAGCGTACTTCCCATTGTAGGCAATGCGTTGTGAAGTCAGTGTACCTCCCATTGTAGGCAATGCGTTGTGAAGTCATTGTACTTCCCATTGTAGGCAATGCGTTGTGAAGTCAGTGTACTTCCCATTGTAGGCAATGCGTTGTGAAGTCAGTGTACTTCCCATTGTAGGCAATGCGTTGTGAAGTCAGTGTACTTCCCATTGTAGGCAATGCGTTGTGAAGTCAGTGCACTTTCCATTGTAGGCAATGCGTTGTGTAGTCAGTGTACTTCCCATTGAAGGCAATGCGTTGTGAAGTTAGTGTACTTCCCATTGTACGCATTAAGTATTATTAACGGGTGTGAGTAATTAAGATCTACACCATGGACTAAGTCAGTGGTCAGAGACCTGTGTACCATGGACTAAGTCAGTGGTCAGATACCTGCGTACCATGGACTAAGTCAGTGGTCAGAGACCTGCGTACCATGGACTAAGTCAGTTGTCAGAGACCTGCGTACCATGGACTAAGTCAGTGGTCAGAGACCTGCGTACCATGGACTAAGTCAGTGGTCAGAGACCTGCGTACCATGGACTAAGTCAGTGATCAGAGACCTGCGTACCATGGACTAAGTCAGTGGTCAGAGACCTGCGTACCATGGACTAAGTCAGTGGTCAGAGGCCTGCGGTTTCGCTCTATAAATAATAAACCACGTCTCTTTTGCTTGCTATTTTATTTTTACGCATGACTATTAGATAATATCCTTCAAACCTAAAAAAACCGCTTTTCAAATTATTAGCAATTTATATGATTAGAATTTTTATTTCATTTAGGATAGAATTTTAAATAGCATATTACATGATGAAAACTATCAACAAAAACATCGAATTCAGAAAAAAAAGTATGTGCTACCATAAAAGAGGAATGAACATTTGAGTAATAAGATTTTTATTTAATTTAAATAGTTTGGTATTATAAAATATTACGAGTGGGAGAATCTCTCTGGGTCTGATGCGCACATTCGCACTGCCCATCTGCCCCAACCCACCACTAATATTTATAAAATAATACTTCACTCAAAACAACGGTGCGCCACCACGGGAGTGAGTGAAACACAGACTGATTAAAAGTGTTAACGATTTAAAGGTAGATCAGTTACCTGCTCTAGAGCAAACTGGTTGGCTAAAATGTAAGGGATCGTGGCCACCATGGACCTGTAGAGTCCAGCAAACACCGCACACAAGTAATACGTCCACAAGGCGGAGGTCAGTGCGCACAGCAAACTGCCAGCTGCGAAGCACAGAGCCGTCCCAGATATCACCAGCTTCCAGCCTGGGGGAGCCACAACGTCACGTCATGTAAACATAGTTTAAGTCCACGCAGTATAAAGATGAGGTGAACATTTTAAGTCCACACAGTGTAAAGATGATGTGAACATTTTAAGTCCACACAGTGTAAAGATGATGTGAACATTTTTTAAGTCCACACAGTGTAAAGATGATGTGAACATTTTAAGTCCACACATTGTAAAGATGAGGTGAACATTTTAAATCCACACATTGTAAAGATGAGGTGAACATTTTAAATCCACACATTGTAAAGATGAGGTGAACATTTTAAATCCACACAGGGTAAAGATGAGGGGAACATTTTAAATCCACACAGTGTAAAGATGAGGTGAACATTTTAAATCCACACAGTGTAAAGATGAGGTGAACATTTTAAATCCACACAGTGTAAAGATGAGGTGAACATTTTAAATCCACACAGTGTAAAGATGAGGTGAACAGCGTGAAAGTTAGTTAAGAATGGACTAAAGATAGGAACGAGTTTGGACGGGTAGAGACGAGATCAAGAGTCCGGCAGGCGTGGGAATATTTTGTTTATGTCATTGGGTCCACTTGGAGCTGAATGTGGGAAAGATGAAGAACAGCAACGAAAAAAAAAAGGTGGGTGGGGCGGGGGGGGGGCGTCTCTGTGAGAGTGAAACTGAACACCAGTATTCCCCACAACACAGTCTACACTACTTACTATGAAATGGTAAGACATCCACGCCTTTTAGAATAGAGCCATAGTATCGCAAACAAATGTTCTACTTCTACGCTCTTTTACTTATTCGTTGCCTTCCTTCTTAGCCAATCCCGATTATACATTATCTTTATTGGTGTCTCTCCCCGGGACTATTCATTACAGGCCATCTCATTTCCTGCCAGTCTCTCGATTCAACTTTGACTTCTCCTTGTGTTAAGCGACTTTTATGGCAGCGGTTCTCAGCCTGTGGGTCGCGACCTCTTTAGGGGTCGAACGAATCCTTTCACGGAATTCGCCTAAGGCCATCGGATTACCCATATTTATGAAATAGCAACGGAAATAATTTTATGGATGGGGGTCACCACAACAATAGGAACTGTATTAAAGGGTTGCGGCATTAGGAATGTTGAGAACCACTGCTTTATAGTTTCCTTTTTTTTTTTTTTTTGGTGTTGTTTGATTTCCTAGACAAATACACTGTCAGGTAATAAACAATAGGAACTGTATTAAAGGGTTGCGGCATTAGGAATGTTGAGAACCACTGCTTTATAGTTTCTTTTTTTTTTTTGGTGTTGTTTGATTTCCTAGACAAATACACTGTCAGGTAATATATACTTGCGCTTGTCATATATATGTTGAAAGTTATGGTAGCTATATGTAACGGAAAAGGCCAATTGATCTGCAGGTCCTTCTCTCTAGTTCTTGCTCTGTTGAATTTTAACCCTGTTAATTTTCTTATGCTTGCATTTGGGGATCTTCTCAAATCACATGTTTTTAAAGAATAATGCGTTACCATGTGTAGCAAAACTTAATTCGAATTGCCGAAAAAAATTTGGCATTAACTTGTTTGGATGTTAGCGAATAGATCATTTACTGCTATCCGTTTGGGAATCCCTGAAAAGTTAAGTCGGCTATGTTAAAGACTAAAATCGTCCGCTGAACTTAAGACAACTTTTTTTCCAAGAAATAGTTTACATACCAATTCGTTGCATTAACCTTCCTTGGAAAAGGTTGAAGACACTGAAAGCTCCGTAGTACGTCAGGTGACCCAGTGAACCCGCCTCTATTCCTTTTAGATAATTCTTATAAGCTTGACTGCTCACGTCTGCTAAAGGATCACCATTGAAAATTCGACGACCTGGTGAAGCCGGTGAAGAGATTATTACTATGGTCATTGCACGGCCAATGAAAGAGTTAATTAACAAAGGAAACATCTTAATTTATGTAATTTATTTTACAAATCTAGTGTTATAAACTCATATTTATATGGAGCAAGGCTGTCATGGCCAGGACCGGGGTGGAAGATAAGCATCCGCTCCTCTAGAAAGGCCCTGTAAGGCTTGCGTCTCCTAATGCCTCTGTCAACCGAAATCCAGCTCCTGGCCTTCACGTGCAGCTTCTCAAAAGTCCGGCGGACAATGTTTCTACTATGTATAATGTGTGTGTGTATATATATATATATATATTTACATTTTTTGAGTGGATGTGAGATTACATTGCGTTTCATTTTCATTTTCCTTTATATTTCCCCATCTCTTCCCATTTCGTTGAAATGGGGCGTGTCATTTAATGGCGGGAATCTATTAATAGAACTGATGTCATCATTACTCATCATCCGGGTACTCAGCGCGGACAAAATGTCAACACTGTTCAGTATTACTATGTTAGCGAAGTGTCCCTGAAACTTGTTTACAACTCTATTTTACGAAATATTTTACTTTTTTTTTTTACTTCTATTTTCTGAAATGGGACTCCATTGCGCGAACGGCTTATGTAACAGTAATTCTAGAAACAAGGATCGTCCTAACGATATGCTGAAACACACAATAAGCTGCCATGTTTTAAGCAATATTTGTACGTGGCGTGCCAGACCAGTAGGGACTGTTCTCCCGAAGCCAAAAACCCCTGCCGCTTGCATGACTCCCAACGCAACGGGAGTAACGCAATGACATGATTCCTTGTTTCACGTAATGGATATGAGGTCTGGGTGGCGGTTAAAGCTCTTTCCGATGACTAAAACTACGCGGTGTGAGAAAGCCGCTTCTAGGTGACCTTCTCGTCCCAGCTTTCTTCCTTACCGAAAGACTACCTGGACGGTGGATGTGGTAAAGCAACACCTTACCCCAGGAGTGGAAGCAATGCCGTCCTGACCCACGGGAGAGTGGACCGCGAACGCAGCGTTTTTGGTCGACCGGACGTCCCCCAGGCCGGGGGGGGGGGAGGTTCTCGGCGTGCTTCCGTACGGTCTGGGGGCGGGGGCAACGGGCGTCTGCCCCTGTGGAGGTACCGCGAACGCAGCGTTTTTGGTCGACCGGACGTCCCCCAGGCCGGGGGGGGGGGGAGGTTCTCGGCGTGCTTCCGTACGGTCTGGGGGCGGGGACAACTGGCGTCTGCCCCTGTGGAGGTGTGCGGGGGGGGGGAGTATTAAGAGCTCGCGCTCGTCGACCCACTGATCCCATTTCCCAATGTGACGTTTCTACATTCTGAATGTACTCCTGACTTGCAATTAACTTTATTTCCGGCGCACAGCCTAGGGGTTTAAAATTATGATTAATATAATGAAGATGTTAATAAAAAACCTCTGTGTGCAAGAAGAGAGGATCCGTGCATTAAGATGATTTACTAGAGCACCTGCGTAATATGTTTGTTAGCCTAACATTTGTCTAAGATTTTTGTTAGTCTAACATTTAACTAAGATGTTTGTTAGTCTAACATGTGTCTAAGATGTTGGTTTGTCTAACATTTGACTACGATGTTTGTTGATCTAACATTTGTCTAAGAGGTTGGCTTGTCTAAAATTATCCTAAGATGTTTATTAGTCTAACATTCGTCTAAGATGTTTGTTAGTCTAACATTTGTCTAAGATGTTTGTTAGTCTAACATTTAACAAATAATATTGAAAGAAACAGTCAACCAAAATCTTCTTTTGGGTTGAATGTATTATCATGATTCGGTTATTTGATAACAAGTAGCAATTTTATGTTACTACATTTGTTTAAACATAGGAAATTGAAGCTCACCTAAAAAATTGACACCATATATTGCAAAAGAGTAGACAGCTCCAATAAGAAAGAATGTCGAAACATTCAGGATAATTTGCTTCTTCCATTTCTTGATAAACCGTGAGAATTTGTCCGTCCTCTTGACGCGCGCGCTTCCGTCGATTATATCATCCGTTACTTGACAGGATTGAGATTCCAAGACAACGCCATTGTAAGGTTCCAATAAGTGTGTGGACAGTTTGGTCGTCTCGGTTGGGATGTCGTTCTGGCTTGAAATGTAACCATTGTCGTTTGTGGCCTCCTGCTTCGACCTGGTTTCAATTTTGAAAAAAAAAACACTATAGCATCGAATGAACCTCCAATAAAATAGTTCATCTCGGTGATCCGTCTGATCTTTATGGCAAAACAGGAAAAAATGAGAGAAAAACAAATTCATACAGTCCCTTGACTACTAGTGGTATATAATAAACTTAAAATTCGTCTCGTGGTTTCATAGAATGTACGTCTGGCTGAACATATCTTAATAATGATACTCGATGTGTTGTTATCTGTGTGGTGTGTGTGTGTGTGTCTACAAGGTGAACGTGCTTCCTACTCTTTTCTACTTCTGTGGAACGTGGATGGTCTCTTGGGGCTATGCAAGAGAGTCAAACCACATTCACACGATGAGCCTCAGAAGATCCTCAACACCGAATGGCAGGACAGGGTGCCACACGCCTAGGTACTCGCATACGCAGGTCTCCCCAGAAGCTTTACTATTTTAATACATGACGTGTGAATATCAGACGAAAACTTGCCGAAAAGAATGTTTTATGACGCTTTCAAGCATGGGAGGTGGTTTGCTGGTGGACTGTGGAAACTGTTTCAAAACAATCGCCTGAAATCCTTACCGAAAGCGTTCGATGTGAACCCGGACACGTGGGAAGAGAATGCAAAAGATCGAGCAGCGTGGCTTTCCTCAATACACAGAGGCTCCATACATGATGCCGCAGAGCACACATGAGGCCAACAGTGGCTGCAGAGCACAAATGACAAGCCAGAAAAGCCCGGCCTAACTCTGCACCTGGAGATGTCCCATCTAGCCCTTGCAACTACTACACTAGAACTTTTGGTGCCAGAATCGGTCTCATCAGCAATCTGCTCTTTAACACAGACAGAATCTGTCTCGTCATCCATCTTCTCTTTAACACACACGGAATCTGTCTCATCAGTCAGCTGCCCCATAACACAGACAGAATCGGTCTTATCAGCCATTTGCCCTTAGCACAGACAGAGCCGGTCTCAACAGCCAGCTGACCTATAACACAAACAGAGTAGGTCTCATCAGCCTCTGCCCTTTAACACAGAGAGAATCGGTCTCATCAGCCAGCCGCCCTTTAACACAGGCAGAATCAGAACCACCACGAATCCGATTATTAAAATGATCGATTTCGACACACGAACCAACGCACATGTCTGCATGTGCTGCGCATGTGCTGTGTAGGTGTTGTATATGTGTTGTGTCTTTGTAGCGTGTGTTCATATGAAGAGATTGTTGTTTTGTTTTTTTTTAAATAATTTGTGGATAAGATGCGAGACAATTTTTTTTTTAAATGCCCCTTATGCCGGTCAAACAACTTACTCGGATAAAGGGGTGGTCGATTCACTGATCGGTGGACAGGAAAAGCCAGTGATCAATGTGGATGTTAGGCCAAAGACCATCAGAACGAAGCAAAGTCCTGACAGCAGAGCACACTGAGCAGCATTGCTGTCATGGGCTGTCCCTGCTGTCAGCATCTTACCCAAACCAACTGACCCAAGGACGGCAATGAGGCATCCACCTGAATATAACAAGTCAATGGAAGCTTTCATTGGTTTATCAAGTCATTTATTTGGTTTATAAAGTCATTTTATTGGTTTATAAAGTCATTTTATTGGTTTGAAAAGTCATTTATTGGTTTATCAAATGATTTCATTGGCTTATCAAGTCATTTCATGGGTTTATCAGTCATTTTATTGGTTTAACAAGTCATTTTATTTGTTTATCAGTCATTTCATTGTTTATCAAGTCATTTTATTGGTTATAACGTCATTTCATTAGTTTATCCAGTCTTTTTATTGGTTTATCAAGTCATTTTATTGATTTGTCAAGTCATTTTATTGATTTATCAAGTCATTTTATTAGTTTATCTAGTCTTTTTATTGGCTTTTCGAGTCATTTTATTGGTTTGAAAAGTCATTTTATTGGTTTATCAAGTCTCTTAATTGGCTAATCAAGTCATTTCCTTGGTTTATCAAGTCATTTTATAGGTTAATCTAGTAATTTCATTAGTTTATCAAGTCATTTCGTGGTTTATTATGTCATTTTCTTGGTTTTTTCAATTCAATTCATTAGTTTATCATGTCATTTCATTGGCTTATCAAGACATTTTATTCGTTTATCTAGTAATTTCATTGGTTTATCATGTCATTTTATTGGTTTATCTTCCACTAACTGTCCAAAACATTTAATTACATTTTGTCTGAGTAGACATATTTTAATGTATTACGTGATTGTCCAGAACCAACAGAAACTAAGCAAGTGGCTCTCAAATGTCAAATCATATACTTCTCCCTTTATTAAACCTGAGATCAACTCACCAACACATCTCACCAGCACAGCTCACCAGCGCAACGTAACACAGCTCACCACCACAACACACCAACACTTCACCAACACAGCTCAGTAACAGAAATCACCAAAACAGCTCACCAACACAGCTCCCAACAAAACTCACCAACACAACTCCCCAAAACAACCGAAATGTTCTGTATGCAAACAAGACCAATCACAACACAGTCGTGTACACATTCAAACATACAAAGTAACGCTCCCACCTTCCAAAAATATTTCCATAAAATGTGGAGACTTTTATACCTCAACAACGTTTGATAATTTCATTGCAATAGGCTTTGTCATTTCTCAGACCGGAAAACGTCATAGCGTACTATTTTTAGAAGGTCGGCGGACAAATATTGCTTAAAACATGGCAGCTTATATTGTGTTTCAGCATATCGCTAGGACGATCCTTGTATCTAGAGTTACTGTTACATATGCCGTTCGAGCAATGAAGTCCCATTTCAGAAAATAGAAGTAAAAAAAAAAATGTGTAAAATATTTCGTAAAATAAGTTGTAAACAAGTTTCAGGGACACTTCGCTAACATAGTAATACTGAACAGTGTTGACATTTTGTCCGCGCTGAGTACCCGGATGATGAGTAATGATAGCATCAGTTCTATTAATAGATTTCCGCCATTAAATGACAAGCCCTATTGAGAGGAGAAAAAGATTCTGGCTAAGCTTATTATTTCATCTTTAGAAGTGATCATTTTGCATTGTAGGCATTTAGCAATTCTTAAAGGCATCGGTGCTAAATCAAATATTAATAGAGTATTAAACGCGTTAATTATTTCACCCTAAGATGGAACTATTTTAAGGGGGAATAGGGGAAACCGTAATAGGTAAAGATAAATAAAAGATCAATGACGTTTGTGACAACATAATTTATGATATTGGCATGGTCTATTGAAAAAAATTAAAAGTTGTTTTATAAAATTCCCCAGGGGCTTAGATGGGAAGGGAGGTTGTAAGGTGAAAGTAGAAATGAACTAGTTAAGTACTTTAGACCTTCTAGAAAATTAAAACTTGGCACCAGGTAAATCGAAACACTCAAATGCCTTTTTTAAAAAGATTATCAAAGGACACCGTGAACCGGCTATGGGTTTTCTGTCAAGTAATTTTTTTTTGGTGAGATTTTACGGTAATAAATTTCAATTGAACGGTGAGTGGTGACTAACCTGTTGCTTCAAAGCACAAGAAGGGAAAGGAAAGTCGCGATTTCAGGACGGCGAAAAGACTGTTCACTCTGCCCTCAATATTCTTCTTCCTTTAAATCACTGTGAGACCACTACGTGCAACATTTTGAAACAGTGCAATACAAAAGAGGTACTTCGGGAGAACAAGATCATTGTCAGAGATGAGTGCAGCGGGGTTCACAACAAGAATGAATAGAAGCATTAGACATAACTCTTCAGCACATCTGGAGAAGTGAATGTCTTGTGACTGGGACTGAGGTTTCCTGTCGAATACAGCATCGCCATGACAATTTTAAAAAGCCTAAAGATAGAACTTTTAACAGGCTGAAGTGGATTTAATGAATGAATGAGTCTCAGCGTCATTTATTGACAAACATCAGACAATACAATGGATGTTTTCAGTTGACGTCCTTCGAAGCTCAGGAGTTGCACGGAGGAAACTTTAAGGTTTATTGGCACGATTATTATAGAACGGTAAGAGTGATACCTTCATCTCAACATCGTCCCAAATTTGCCAGAAACATATTTTGATGCAAACGATGAAAAAGATGTGGCAATTCAGTCTAAAATTTTTCATGTCGTAAAAAAATACGAAAAAGTCGGTCAACTTTAAAAAAATTCTGCCTGATCGATACACATGCATAAAATATTTGAAAACAGCTAAGGCAAACTTTCCGGAAGGACAAGAGTTTAATTTAGTGATTCATGCCAACACAAAAATCTGCAGTTGGGCATAGGAGTCGGTTTAATGCCCAACTAGAAGGGTTGCGGCTTTAGTAATTGATGATTGTGGTTAGGGAGTAGAAAAGCGGTGCATGGTTCTTGACAGCTGAGACACTGGGTTAATGCGGATCAAACAAATACATCGTTCTTGAAACACACTCCAGTATGTTTTTATGTTCTTCTGTGGAGAAGGTGGTTACTGCAGTGTTCTGTAGACGACGCATTTACGTCATATTTTCCCTCGTGCTGTGAACTCTAGCAGATTCTGCATTAGTATGGGGCGTAAATTATTCCCTTTGATATTGTTTACAACAAAACAATCTATCGTCTGTTTTTCTTGACTAGTATGTGGTAGAAAATGGTAGTAATAGTAGAATGTTCTAGTCACTAATACAATGCGTAATACGCCTGGAATTTTCTGTAGAACAGACTATAAAAAAGCAGAGAAAGCATTATTTTTAAGAGGATAAGATATTTTCTTTACGGGACGACGGGCTAGGATTTAATTTTAGAGCATGTTATTCTTGATAGAGCTGTGTTTACGTATATGTGTGAATTCTTTTCATCGTTGTACCTTTGTTTGGCACATTGTAATTTTTCATCCAATTTTGTACCGGTTCAAGAAACACCATATTATGTAAGTTAATGATTTTAATTATATTTCTTTTATTATGTAATTTATTAGTAGCTTCATAAAACTTATTAAATGCATTTAGCACTGTTTTAAGTGTCGTAATTCTCTGTTATTTTTTTTTATCATTTGGTATCGTCTTGTTATGCACTGCTTTGAAACGAGCCATACATGTAAATAGGAGAATAATTTCTCCCTACGAATAGCAGAGCTTAACATGCATCATCATCACTCAGCATCATGCAACTATCAAAATGGCATCACGCCGTCTTCGCGAGATGACTGCTAGGTACACTTCAGGGAATGGCTACCTTCCGCATTGTTCTTTTTGTTGCAAGGGCTTGTTTTCTGGATCTTCTGCCTTTTTGACTCCTTCATACACAGCTGGAACGTTTTTACGTTTTTCAGCAATGATCTCCCATTCGTTGATTTTAATGTCGGATTCCCTCATGCTCCTTTTTGAAAACGTCAATAAACCTCAGGCGCAGCCATCCAATAAGTTTGTCCCTCCTGCCAACTCTCCATACAGCATATTCTTTGGAATACGGACTTCCTCCATTCTCCTTAAATGACCTAACCAGCTAAGGCGCATCATGCTAATAGCAGACAATATGCTACACATCTGTGTTTAGGCACTTCGTCATGCCATCGAACGCGTAAAAGGCGAGAGAACTAGAAATATTTGATCCAAGGTATGTGAAATGCTCAGCAACCGATAGGTTATGGCCCTCAAGAGATATGATTGGAGGCGACGGTGCTTCTAGCATCATGACATTTGTTTTCTGTAGACTATTTGAGAGCCCAAACTATTTACAATATACAACCTACACCCTACTCTATTAGTAATTTCTATAAATATCCGAACGAAGCATGGGTATTAAGATAACTTTCATTTTAAATTTAAATTTATAATTAAGAAAACTTTTTCCATATTGAGTCTGTTGAAATTAAAATGTTTGAGACGACATTTATAATCGTAGCAACCTTAGTTAATTTGTTTCTCTACATACACACAAATTTTGCCACGTGATGAGCATTAAGTTTAAAAACTTACCGATCGATGAAATCACAATTGACATGAAGATTATGTTGGAATGCTCCTTGGGTGGAGTTAGCGCCACGGCAAACGTCTTTAGAAAGCAAGTGGAGGTATCATAGCCAGCGTCAATGAGCGCAAAACCTATCATAGCTAGAATGGCGTAAAATCGTATGTCTGGTGGTACCGTTGGAGCTCCATGACTTAACACATACGAAGAGTTCCCCGTCATGTTATCGCCGTAGGTAAGGCTAGTTACACCATATACGGACGAACTGTTATTGAAGAGCAAGTTTGGAGTCAGGGAAGAAGTCGTTGACATACCTAAAGATAGATATGTTCTGTTGTCAGCCTTTCTCGACTGCAGATATGTTACGTGTCCTGGCGGATGATCGTAATATAACAGTTTTACAGTATTCGCTGTAAAAACGAGCAAGGTCCCAAAGATCTGAAGACAGCTCGTGGCGAAGACAATAATTCCATTGGCGCGTTTAGAGAGGGTGCTCCTGCTCAGCAGAAGTCCAATCGTCGGGATGAGAAAAGCGGCTAAGATGGCAGCCACCGTGCCTGGTAATGAGGCGAATCGTATAGGGACGCCTAACGTCTGAATGTTCGCAATCATCAGGAGCATCTCGAAAACAGCGCAGGCGTCGATGCCAACAGTGTTAGCAACGAGAAGACATTTGCGGAGTCTTTTTGACAACTGGAGCTTGTCAGAAGACAGAAGGCGCATGATGCTTTTCATTCTTGTCTATTTGGAGTGCACTGCGTTGTGTTTTGTGACACTTTTTCAAATTATTTCCACTGTTGACAGGGAAAAAAGAGTGATCTTATTGTTTTATTTATATCCGATACATTTATTAAAAAATCATTTATATTTCTGTTATTTATATAAGCAATTATACATGTTATATATATATTAACTTACCTTGGACCTTTGCCAATTTAATTATGGCGCAACCAGCGCACTTGCACCAGGCCTACCTTTAAAAAGTTGAAACTATAGACCTATTTTTTTAACTATTTGTTTTTATTTTGATGTCCCGAACTCTTCATTATCCACACTAAAGTGAGAGCAGTTTAGGGTGGGGGGTGGCGAATAGAGTGCATTTTTCTAGGTAAAGATAAATAAAAGATCAAGCTTTCGGTTAATGATATGGGAACTTTGATAATAAAGTGAATAATTATTTAGGGGGTTTTGATTTGACTTGATCAGTGTTATTATTTCTACGGTAGATTTTATTTAAAAAAACCTATAGCCTAGAGATAAACACAAACAATATTCTGTTTGCCAGAATCATTTAGAAAGTGCCGTCTTAGGGCATGGACACGCTGGGCACTTGCCCGTGGCCTCACGCTTCTAGGGGGCCTCTAAGGGAATCAAGTTACACATATTGTTAATGTTTATTGAAATAAAGATCTTCAATCAATTTACTTTGCTAAACACAACCTGGTCCTGGGACACCTATATTACCTCCATCATTTCTTTTGTCGCTCGCCGATCAAGATTAGAATCAAATACGCGCCAAAAATATACCTCAGCATTTTAAATTTAGCAAATATTCCTGGAGAGGGCCCTCGGTCCCGAAAACGACATCGTCTGTTTCATTTCGTGATCCAGATTCCAGGAGTGAAACTAGGTTGAGGTCAAAAGCATACACTTAGGAGGCGCAAAGACTGGAATGATTTAATGTTTATGTATGATGGGGGTCGAGGGAGTCACTGTTGGCCCTGGGAGACACGGTTGCCCTCCTCCCTTTATGGAGGCCTGAAAAAGTGCTGCCCACACCCACCCCTATGAAATTGTCTGGACGAAATGCCAGTACTTTTGAAGACATTACTTGAATAAGTTAGAAAGATATAGGGCGTCTCAGTACATTACTTTGCACACGGTCCCCGATGCTCTTAAAACGGCTCTGTTTAAAAAAAAATGTAGTTTTAAGAGGCTGAAACAATGCGTTATTCATTATTTTTAGCTGTAACAACTGAAGATATTCAAAAGTTTAGAGAAGGCATCGGTTCAGCTACAGCAAAACAACATGATGTAGTTCAGCACTAAGTACAGCTCAGCACCTAGATACAGTTCAGCACCCAGATACAGTTCAGCCCCTAGATACAGCTCAGCACCTAGATACAGCTCAGCACCTAGATACACTTCATCACCTAGATACAGTTCAGAACCTAAATAAAGCTAAGCTCCTAGATAAAGCTCACCACCTAGATACGGCTCACCACCTAGATACAGCTCAGCACCTAGATACAGCTAAGCACCTAGATACAGCTCAGCACTTAGATATATTCAGCACCTAGATACAGCTCTGCACCTAGATACAGTTCAGCACCTAGATACAGTTCAGCACCTAGATACATTTCAACATCTAGATACAGCTCAGGTCCTAGAGTCCTAGATACAAAAACAATATTAAAAAACAATAGAACGATTATAGAATGATTATATATTTTTAAAATTAAAAATGACTAAATTTTCACTTTTAAACCGTTTTAAAAATTAATAGTAACTGGTGCATTTATCCGATTACAATTAGTGAAATCTATTAAATATCGCTATGTTCGATATTATTTAATGATCCGCATATATAAGGCCAATTTTGTTAAAGGCTTATAGTATTCGAATATCAGGGAGGACGACGATTGAACGCCTTTAAGTTAGAGTCCCGCATCACCGAGACACGGAGGTGTCACATGGGGCTTGCTTCTTCGTGGCGTGTCTGAATAGTATGGAGGTTCCCCTCCCGAAGCCAGAAACCCCCGGCCGCTGCATGACTCCCAAGGCAACGGGAGTTACGCAATAACATGATGACTTGTTGCCGTTAAAGGGTTATGAGGCCTGGGTGGCGGTTAAAAACCTTGGCGATGATTTCAGCTACGCGGCCCTGAGAAAGCCGCTACTGGGCGAACGTTTTCGTCCCAGCTTTCGTCCCGACCGGACAACTTCCTGGACGGTGGGGGGAGGTAACAACTTTCTCCCAGAGAGGAAACAAAGCCGTTCAGGAGAGTGGACCACGAACGCGTTAAAAGCAGCGTTTTCAGTCGACCGGGCGTCCCCTAAGCCGGGGGATTCCTGGCGTTCTTCCGCATGGTCTGGTGGCAGGGAGACCCGGCGTCGGCCCGTGTGGGGATGAGCCGGGAGGGGGGGGGTTGGGGTGATATTAAGAGCCTTCGCTCGACGACCAACCGACGTCATCTCCAATGTGACGTTATTAGTATTCGATTTTAAATATCGTACCGACCGCTCCTGATAATAAGCCGAAGTCTTAATACCCATTGTTTGAACATATTGATATTTTTATTCATTTATTTTTCGCAAATTCACACATTTTAAGACTTTAATAACACTCTATCAAAGTACCTTTACATCAAGATCAAGGACAACAATTCTAATAATATTTCTTGCCAAGCATCAAACATACGCAGTCTATTTTATAATTATATTTCATTATGAAAGCATTACTTTTAAAGTAGGGATAGTTGTTAATTATAAATTGTATAATGATATTAGCCTTTAAAAAATATTTGTATTTGCATAACTGTAAATGTACCCGATTCCATGAATTTTGAGTTATATAAAATGGAAATTAAAAATTAATTGAGAGATTTTGTTTTATTAAGAATTGAACGGGCATAAACAAATAGAGCACATTGCATTAATTATTATATCGAAAAAATGTGTGTTTTCATTAAACGTGCAACGTTTGTAACAAATTTTCCTGAATAAAAGAGGATTAAAAAAATATTTATCTAATATTTATTACATTCCCACCAGCGTTTATCTTCTTAATATTAGAAAATTAACAAACTGACCCATCTGTTTGCAAGTATTGTTTTTAAAAATAATATTTTGAATTTACCAGAGGACTTTAAAGATTTAATAGGTGACATTAAGCTAGGGGAAAAGCAGACCGTCAAGGTAAGCACAAATGGAATCAATTTAGGACCTGTGCCGCTGGTGAGTCTTTAAGGTGCGTCTTTGATAGTTATTATGGCTAATTTTGGCGCTTCCCACACAAAAGTTTGAAATGCCACCTCAAAAATGTCCGAAAGAAACACCAATTTCACGTATGCGCCCAAATATACCCCTGCATTTTGAATTACCGCGACTTTCTTAAGCAGCCTCAATTTGTAGACCATTTCCCTCATGCTGATCAGTGTTGCAGTATAGGGTTGAATTATTATTATTAGTGATTTTTATATAGCACGGTATCCCAGCCTAGGGCTGGACTCAACACGATTTACATACATTTTAACAAAGATAATCATGAACTTAAAAATTAACATACATTAATTAACTAAAACAAAACAAATGTATTTTCACTCAAGACATTCCAGAACTATGTACACGTTAAGTCATGGACGGCACCCATCAGCATCGTTTATCGGTTAAGGGGGAGAGGGGTTAAGTCAGGATAGTAGAGTTTAAAGAGATGTGTTTAGAGTTCAGTTTTGAAGGCTGTGATGGTCGGTACATTGCGGATGTGTAGTGGAAGGACATTCTATTTTCTGAGGGCACAGAAAGAGAAAGATCATTCACCGGATGCTTTTGTGCGAGTCTTTGGGACAGAAAGAATACGCCTGTCTACGGAGGAGCAAAGCTGTCGAAGGGGTGAATAGACAGAGAGAACTTCGGTTAGATAGGAAGGGCAGGAATTCGGTAAAAAATTGTGTCAGAGAACAGAGAGTGTGTAGTCAATACGTGGTTGTTTAGGCAGCCACTGAAGTGAACTAAGTCGGGGTGTGACGTGATCACGATTTTTTGCCTTTAGAACTAGCCTAGCACCTGAGTTAGGAACCCTTTGTAATTTTTCAATATAAGCTTGAGCTAAACATTTGCCCTGGGGAGCGCCACAATTGGAGTGAATTGAGTTTATGTATGGCACTTGCATCATAATGCCTCCCCAGACCTTTAAAAATGCCAACCCTCTGATCAAAAAGTCTAATAGACACATTTAATTCAACTACACCCCAAAACACACCTCTTGATTTTGAAAAAGTAACAAAAATTATGTGGACAATCTCGGGTCTGTGCTTTCCTTTCCAGGTGTATCCTGTACTTTGTGTGTCATCCTCTAGTTTCCATGTCTTTAGGGTTTCCTCTTTTTTTTATCCCGGTGGATTTCATGTTAGGGAGTGTCTGGTGATGTTATCTAGGGCTTTGTGGAGATTGTGCCCTATCCACCTCCATCTTTTCCTTATGAAGTCTTCAACAATAGGCTCCTAGTATGTACTTTCTAGCAAGCCATTGTTGGTGAAGGTGTTTGGTCATTTGATGTTCATGATCTTTTTAAGGCAAGTGTATATTAAGGTCTACACTTTCTACGTCATGCTTGCTGTTGTTCTCCAACTTTTGGCTCCTTAGAGAGGGACTGTTTTGACATTTGTGTTGAAAATTCTGACTTCTGTGTGAAGAGTCAGCTCTTTTGACTCCCATATATTCTTTAATAGCACACATGCTGACTTAGCTTTTCCAATTCTAACCGTGAATAATTCTGCTTCGGATCCACCATTTAATTCAATGGTGCTGCCTATGTATGTGAAGACCCCCTCTTCTTCCAGTGCATATCCGACCAGAGTGGTGTGCTCTTGTTTTGGCTGTGTTTGCCTTTATGATCTTTTTCTTGCTTTTATTTTTATAAATAAAAGCAATATTCATCGGCGACTCGAATTCTACCCTACACCCTGATGAAAATGATCGCTTATTTGATTGTGATAGATAACATTCCCAGAGGCGTAGCTAATATTAGTGTCACCATGGGGCCAAGTATTTTGGCCGCTCTTCCTTTCACGATAGAAACTTTGTAGTTGTCCGAAAATGTGGCATCTCCATTTAACGAAAAAGTGATACCAGGGTGAACATTCTTACTCTAATCCTCACTGCGCCAGTGGCATGGGCGTAGCCAGAGTGTTTGGTGTCACGGGACGTGATTGATTTTACGCCCCCTCCCCCTCTTAACTCTGAAACTCATTATGTTTCCATTAATACCACCAATGCCAATTGTGGTTCCCCTTCTTGTCTAACGTTCCGGAACGTATGTCCCATCTGACACCCCTTATCTACGCCTCTGGCCACTGGTAGTTGGCACTGCCCCCTCCCGAAAATCTGAAAAGCTCCCCGGGGAGGGGGGATGTCTGAAAGAAACACTGGTCCTAATTGCACAGTTGTTTAGTATTTATCGCACAATTGTTTAATCTTAAGCACACAACTGCTTAGCCTTAATCACTAAGTTGTTTAATCTTAATCACACAGATGTTTAGTTTTAATCACACAGATGTTTAGTCTTACACTACGAGAAATGTATTGCCGCGGAAAGACTAGGATAACCAGATTCAACATTTGCTGTGTAGCAATCACATTTTGAGTGGCCAAATTATCTTGCCTTCTTTACAATAAACAACTCCATTCAACAAAGCACTGAAGATTTTAACAAATTAAAGTGAGGATTGACTTCAAGTTTTGGTCATGATTTTCATTTGTTACTTGTCTTAATGCAGTTGTCTCAAACTCAAATAATCCGGGGGCAGCAAAAGGTAGAGTCTGAGTGAGACTAAATAATCCGGGGGCAGCAAAAGGTAGAGTCTGAGTGAGACTAAATAATCCGGGGGCAGCAAAAGGTAGAGTCTGAGTGAGACTAAATAATCCGGGGGCAGCAAATGGTAGAGTCTGAGTGAGACTAAATAATCCGGGGGCAGCAAATGGTAGAGTCTGAGTGAGATTGGGCCGCATCCATTATTTCACAAAAAAGCGATTACAATTTCAATAAAGTATTACTATTGCAATCTTCTCAGCCTTTATTAATAAAAAATAAAAACATTAAGGGTTCTCGTGAACTTTAATCCTCCTCATCCCTGTTACCAGAGACCTGGCAGCCCTTCTTCTTACACAGCTGAGCAACATTTGGCTTGAGTGAGAAACCAACTGAGACCCTCAGTATAACTTAAAGATGCTCCTCAGTAGGTTTTACCCTGAACTTTGACTTGTTAAAGTACATAGTGAAAAATTGCTTTTCCCAAAAAAAGGCACATGAATCGCTTGAATAACTTGGAAATCTCAGGGAAGATGGGGGGAAATGTTCTCATAATGTGTTCATACTTGTCTGTTGGTTTTTTTTTCATTTATCGCCCTGAACGTAGAATTGCACTGTGGGACAATCAGCTCCATTTGAAGCGCAAAGAGGGTTGAGGGGGTGGAAGGCATCTTCCAGATTCAAAGAGAAAGGATCAGCAAAAAGTTTAAAAGTGGCTCTTGGTGTTTTGAAGTCTAAAAGGAAGGGATCAAATTCTTCCTATAGCTTTGCAATGGCAACAGTATACTTACTACTAAATTGTGTGCCCGAGTCCATGAGTACTTTGCATGTTGGGAAATGGCAGTTGTTTCTTTAAGAACCATAACACAAGTTTTGTGCAGAATGCCCTGACATTGTCATAGGGCAACACCGACAAGCTACCCCTGGTCTTGTAACTTCTTGTTGAGTGCACTCAGTTCCTGTGTAAATTCAACACGAAAAGCCAAGTCCATGAGCCATTTGGGATCACTTAGTACAGGAACAACCACTCCATTCTCCTCCATGAAGGCTTTGAAGGCTAAAATGTGTCCAACCGGAAATCAGGACAGGAAATATTTATGCATTATTGATCCGAAGGAAAATGCTATGATAGAGATAATGAATATTGATTTTTTATCGTAGAAAAGGCCTTTTTGACTAACCCTATTTTGAAAGTGACCAAGCTGACAGACTCGGAATTTTCTTCACCTGTAAACACTACTGGCAACTTTAAGAATTCATTGTTACAGTGTCAGATTGCTACGGTTTACACAGTTATGGTTGTGCATTACCTACTAACTAACTTTTAAATTTGTTTTTTAAAACCGCACTTCAGCCATGTTTGTCTCATGAAATGCTATAAAATAAAAACTTTTAGTGCGATTTTAAAACGGTTTTAACCATTATAAGCAAAGTCAAAACATATTCAAACATAATAAAAATCAGAATTAGACTAGTCGCTGAGATTCCACTGAAGGGTCACATTATGGATATGATAATGGGGAAAACGAGAGGGCCGCATTAACATGAATCGGGCTGCAAAATATCGTCTTGCCGGCTGCAAATGGCCCACGGGCCGTGAGTTTGAGACCCCTGTCTTACTGTTTTATTTTTTATTTCCTTTGCCTTTAATCATTTTTTTTATAACAAACGGTTTGTGATTTTTAAGAAAAACACAAATACTGGTATATATATATATATATATATATAAATATATATATATATATATATATATATATATATATTATATATATTTTATTTTTTTTTTTTTTTGTCTTTTTTCATTTTTTTTATAAAAAACGGTTTGTGTTTTTTAAGAAAAACACAAATACTGGTATATATATATATATATATATATAAATATATATATATATATATATATATATATATATATATATTATATACAGTGAACATTAAGGTCTTATAAATGAAATAAAATCATCAATAATTCCTTATGATTTTTTACTGCTTTTTAAATAAATGTAAAATAGCTGTACTTGGATATTTCGAATTTTACTTTCTCTATTTAAATAACAGGAAGAAATACTTCAAATAGTTTTTATACTTGTTAGTGAGTTTATGTATGTTTTTGCAGTTCTCCAAGTTCACTGATCACCTGCGCGCGTTCACTATTACAATCAATCTAGTAAGATTTGTGTCCTTACCCGAATTTGTTTTATAAGTGTTATAGATTCCTCTATAAACTCTCGAGTCACTCCTGCTTACAGTTGTGCATTCAAACAATAACGAAGCACACCATACATACAGAAATTATGAACAAGATTCTGTTTGAGAAAAATATTAACCAAAACCTCGACGCCACAGTCGAACGGCTTACACATCTGTCATAGTGTAGAGACACGGGCAAAAGGATGGTTCGAGAACTACGGACGCTAACCTTCATACTTATCCAAGCTGGCATTCATATAAACCGTCAGGGGCGCCGTCACCATGCCACGGGTCCTTCGCAGTGCTTGACCCCCCGTTTCCTGGTGTAATCCCACTGTCGTAGGTGTCGACATGCCTCTTACCACTTGACCAGTGTTGACAAACGGGGACTGGGGGGGGGATGTGTATGAGACACTAAAAGTTTAAATAAAAACACCAGGGAAGGGATGAAATTTTCTAATAAAATGGATCAATACGATGATGTGTCTGAGCCAACGTTATCCCGCTAAAACTGATGTTGATGATCACTTTTTCATCCTTGATAATAAACTGAGCTATCTCTTATATATACAAATAGCTTCTGGTGTGTCCTGCTTCCTTTTTGAAACCGCCCCCCCCCCCACTTAAAGTCCACATGTTTTGAATCAATATTACCTAGTGACAAAAAGGTTTTCATGCGTGACTTGTGAACTCGGGTAAAAAAAAATGTCTTTATTTTATAAATAAATAAATAGCCACGGGTATGGTGTAGGAATGTCTGTGGTACTATTGTTTCAAACCCGGCAGGTAGGGTTTGGGATTAGTCTTTAAGGACCAGCAGGTTGGGTGTGGGACTATTCTTTAGATGCTGGCAGGTAGGTTGTGGGACTATTGTTTAAAGGCTGGCAAATATTATAGAAAATGAGAAGTTTGCCCTTTTTTTGGAACACTTCTCAAAATATCCGGACACAGTGTAAAAAATGAAAAAAAATTCGAGTTAACTTCCACCCCTACAAACTTCCATCCCTACAAACTTCCATCCCTACAAACTTCCATCCCTACAAACTTCCATCCCTACAAACTTCCATCCCTACAAACTTCTATTTTTACAAACGTTAATTTCTACAAGCTTACATTTCAACGAATTTCCATTCAAACAATAATAATCTGATTTTTCGTATCCTCCTTCCATAAATAAAATTCGTTTAACAAAGCAATCATGAATTAATCTATATAGACATACAAGCTGTGTAGCCCTACACCTACTTTAGTCCCTTTAGCTGGTGGGGGGGGGTGGGTTGGGGTTACCAGCCAACCCATCAAAAGCTCATATTAACATCATAAACAGAACGAACGACATAGATTAAGCTGAATTTATTTGAAGCACATACTTAAAACGTTCCAATTACTGTTAATATTATACAAGAAGTTTTGATGCATTGTTGGCTGGTTGGTTTTGAGAACTCTATTAATATAGCTTCACACTACTATGTAGTTGCACACTATTATATAGTTGCACACTAGTATATAATTGCACACGCACACTATTGATTTAGTGAATAATAAAAATAAAATAGACGCTACAGTGATGTGTTAAAACACGCGGAGGTACTTTACTTGCAAAATTTAAGTATTGTGTGCTATACCTGGATTCTTCTCTGTTCAATTACGTTCTTCTCTTCGACTTTCTGAAGAAGGGAGCCAATCATCGACTGTCGAAGGCATGTTACGAAAGTTCACACAAGTTGGCCAAGTTATCCCAATTTGGGGGCGCTGATAGATGCACTGTCGAAAGGCGTAGCTCGAGATTCTGGCGCCGGAAGAAGGTTTGTGGCATCCCCTTCCAAGCTAAAAACTCTGCAGTTGAACGAAGATGGTGGTGCGCCATCAAAATGGAGGAGGGAAAAAAGGACACCAGGGGTGAATCTCCCCCTTTACTCCTTTTCTACGTCACTGGCAATGTTTACTCAAAAATATGTACCTCCTGCCCCCCTCACCCCTGGGCCGGAAAAAAAATTTCTGGAAAAAACTCTGCAAGCTAAAACATGCAGAATTGATAAAAGAGCATGACCATGGGGAGGGGTGGCTTTCACCACTCGGTGGGTGGAGGGGATAGACGCCCCTGAGGCTGACGGGTTATCTGATTAGTTCTAAGTCCCGCTCTAACTCTACTTTGTCCTGCGTAGTAAGTTTTGCTTATAAAAGAATTTCCAACACTGAGATAATTTATTAGACAGTCTCTTTTTGCACGTCTCTCAAAGTAATGATATACTTCAACAACAAAAAAGTTGTACATCAACAACAGACAAGAGGTGGGCTGGCGAATTAGAAAATGTAAAATAATACCTTAAGATTAAAATGAACAGATAACGATGGGGGAGAGGGGAGCAGGGGGCAATTAAAATAAAAGCTGTTACCCCTTTGTTCATAGCGTAAATTCATTGAGTATTTATGGTTGTAGATAAGGCTTACAAATCACATTCTTATTGTAGTAATGTTATGTGGTTTGTCGTAAGTGGTGAGATCTAGGTGATTATGATGGATATTGTATTATGTTTGTTTTTTTCGATAGATGTGTTTCTGAGATTGTGTAGGGTGTAAGAAACACATTTTGGCCTGTGAGAAATGTCTAGATCCGGAGGTCCAGGTGGTCCAAGGAAAGTGTCTGGGATGTGAAAAGGTTTCATGAGATGGCGCGTGTTGTTTATTATCCGTCGGGAATTCACAGAGACACAACTAACACATCATTAGTCGGACGTTGGGTGCACCACGGTGCTTATGGCACCATGAATGATCTTCAACAATATAAGAAAAAAAATCATTGAATGTGGGCCCCATGGAAGAAAAATAGAAAGTGCAAGAAAAAGAGTTGCTGATCTAAAGACTAGAACAAAAATGTCATCGTTAGGCTAAATGTTCATACTTCCCACGGTAGGGTAGTTCTTTAAACTGCCCACGGCAGGCAAATTGCTCAAACTGTCCAAATACAAGTTAAGAAATACAATTGTATTGGGATTTTTTGTTGTTTTTTTAACAACCTAGGTAATAAACTCATTACATAATCCCTAGTTTTTTTCCCTGCACAAATCTGTATGATTATACTTACAAAGGCGCTAAAGGTAAGCTTACCCGGGACACCAGCAACCGTAGGACCATCCCTGAACTTAGTGTTCCTCTTGTGTTAAAAGGTCTTAAACTTATGGTGGCAGTATCACTCACTAGCAAGTTTAAAATAGGGTACGACTTTTCACAAACATTAAACTTATAAAGACATAGACTTATAAACAAATAGACTTAAAACCAGGGTGTCTTTCAGCTACACATCCGGGGGGCAATGCCCCGATCCCAAGGAAAATCAAGTGCCCCCGCGTGCCCCCCCCCCCAAGCACAAATAGACACACCAATAAAACAAAGTCTATTTTATTTTATTTTAAAATGACCACATTTTTATTTTGTAAACAATGTTTAAATAAATATTAGCTGCTGTCATAAACCGATTACAGTTAGTCGAATCTATGAAATATCGCTACGATCGATTCATTTGATGATCCTTATAGTTAAGGCTAATCTTCTTAGAAGCTAGGGCTATTCGATTATAAATATCGCAATTTTCGAAAATTTGACGACTATGAGCCGAAGTATTACTTCCCGTTTGCATTTATCTGTATTTTTTTGCTTAATTATTTGTTTGCAAACTCACAAGTTTAAAGACTTTATTAAATAGCACTGTATGAAGCTACATTTGCTTCAATTTTAAGGTCTATAATTTTAATAGAGATCTCACTAAGTATCAAACGTGAGCAATCTGTTCATGTTTTCAAATTATATTTTATATAACTTTTAAGCATGACTTTTAAGCTGAGAATGGTGTTAATTACAAATTAAAAGATGGAATGACGCTTTCAAAGATATGGTTATTGTTAGCAATCGGTGTTTCTTTCAGCTATCTCTTTGGGAGGGCACTGCCCCCTCCCCCCCCCCCCGGGCCAGCGTACAATGTGTACAACAATATAAATATAATATTTTTTATATTAAAAATTACATTTGCATAGTCATCATCATCATCATGTCCCTTAGTCTTTGGACCGTTGGGGCGCCACGCAGATGACATGTGAACTATCCTCCTCCATTCAACTCTGTCTTCTGCACTACGCACAGCATCGCCCAGTTTTAGTCCCGTCCACTCTTTGATGTTATCTTCCCATCTTTTTCTCTGTCTTCCTCTTCTTCTCCCTCCTCTTGTGGTGCCCTGCATGATTTAAATGGCGAGCCCTTGTTTCCTTCTCATGTGGCCATACCATTGTAGTTTGCGCTTTTTTACAGTCACCAGGAGATCATCATACTGCCCAATTTCCTGACGAACCATTTCTTTCACTTGATCATTTAGAGCTATGGTCCTTATAGCAGATGCCAAGAATGCTTCTGAAACATCTCAACTCCATCACCTTTATTTTCCTTTCTAGTTGCATAATAACCGGTGCCTTAATCGTTTACAATTAATGGTATCTATGAAATATCGACGCTATCGATTTCCACCCTACTGCTCGATGAAAATTATCGCCGATTTTGGTTCCGATAGATACACTACCTAGCGGCGTAGCTACTATTAAGGCTGCCATGAGTGGCCAAATATTTGTGCCGTCCTCCCTTTAACGCTTCCACCTCTGCAGTTTTCCAATGCATTTTTTTCCATTCTGAACTATAATCTATTTTCATTCAGTCTGCGTAATTACCAGCGAAGGTTGATTACATGGTCTTCCTCATTCTTTCCACTCACTAGAATGTCGTCCATGTACTCTGCTACTCCAGGCAAATCTTGTGTAAGTTTGTGCATGATTTCTTGGAAGTATGCTGGTGCTGAGGTAATACCATATGGTAAACGTGTTTGCAGCAATACACCTTTAAGTGTGCTTAATATCAATTTCTCTTGGGATTCTTTAGCCAGCTTGATTTGATTATAAGCATCAGCTAGATCTATTTTGGAAAAATAATGTCCACCTGCTAACTTTCTTATTGGGTCTTCTGGTAATGGCATTGGGTACCTGGGTGTTGCTGACTGTTGATTTACAGTTTTCGCACAGTCCCCACAGACCCTTACTTTCTTACTGAACTACGGGAATGCCCCAATGATTGAACTGTACTGGTAGCCAGACTCCTGAGGATATTCCAGCTTCATAAGCCTCGTCTAGCTCTGTCTTTACTGCAAATGGAACATTTCTAGGTTTCATATAAATTGGTTGTGCATTTGGCTTGAATTTAATTTCTAGCTCAAAGTCTTTCAATAGCCCAAGACCTGGTTGAAACAGTTGAGGGAATTCCTTACAGATTTGTTCACAAGCTTTACTCAATAAGTTTTGATTAATAATGTGATTTATCCATGTTTGAAAAAGTGTGTCTTTCGAAATCTTGATGTTCTCTATTGTGGTTCTGCCCCCAAAAAATTAAGCTGTGATATTTTACTTCTAAAAATGACAGATGTTTCCCCTACATCAGCATTTATCTTAACAAATCCCAAACCATCAAGTTTGTTACTAGACGCTGACTCGTACCTAACAGATACTGGGCTCAATGTGGGTTGTCCCTGCTTTTGACAAACAGATTGAGACATAACATTTTCCCCGTCTCCGGTGTCCATTTCGAATTCAAACCTCTTTCCTTCTAAAATGAGTTCTTGAATAAGGGGCGGGATAGTTTTTTATTTGGTTTTGCCTTCTTATTCTTGTGAGATAATTGGTTTCTGGTTTGGAGCACTCTCCTTTTTATTTAAGACAAATTCCTTCTAGATGTCCTCTCTTGTGGCAAAAGTGACAGATCATCTCTTTATACTTGCAGACATTGCCTTTAAGGCCTCGTCCTACACACCTGCCACAAGTTCCAATCGAAAAATCCGTCATTGAGATGGAGAGAATTTCTCTGCTGTCTGATGTTGCTTATTTATTTTTGTCTGACTTTTATGGATAGGACTTTCATCATGGACTGTTTCTTTGGCACATTTTGCTTCCTCTTCTGTTTCAATAGCTATTTCTACTTCCTTATTCAATTATAATTCAGTGTCCCTCATTCTAAACAAATTTTTCAATACTGCCTCGTTTTTTACCGAACACATAATAAATCTTGTCCGTTAAACTTCCTCTAGAGGATTTTTTATATTACCAAACTCGCATGTGGTTGCCTCCTGTCTTATTCTAGTTGCCATTTCTT